TTGGACTTAATAGATTTAAATGTGCCAGAAAACATAATCTCTGTTATCTGCACCTCAGAAAAAAAACAAGGAAAATTAAGTTTGGACACTTAAAGTTTGTTTGACATATGGTGATTTACAATGCACAGTTCATAAAACAATACATAAGAGGGTTAAAGGAAAAATGTTAAAGGGGCAATAAGTGAAATTCATCATTTCTAGATTGAAGGAATTAAAAAATCGCTATGTGAAGAATTAGGGGTGTAATTTCATCTGGAGTATAGCATGACCTCACACACCCTCTCTCTGTGTTGATCTCTAGCCCCTTGTTTACAAGCCAGTCCGGCTGCGCGTTCATGTACATTCATGTAAATCTCCGCCTCCTCCCTCCTCTTGGAGCCCTTGGCCCTCCCTCCCTATAAAAGGCTACAGCCAGTGAGCAATGGCAGATGGCATGATGGTACTTGTAATAAATGTAATATACTTGCTGAGATGGAGGCGAGGCTCAGTGACTAGAAGAGCTGGTAGAAGTGCTCCATAGCTGTAGGTTACTCCAGTAGCCAGTGGCAGCCGACTAGTGCTAACTCCAGGAGCTAACGTTAACACTTCTCCGTGAGTGGGCTCACGGGCCTGGCGGGCTCACGGGCTCACGGAGCAGAGTAGGAACGTTTGCGTTAGCTCCCGGGAGCGTTAGCAGGTAGCACTAGTCGGCTGCCACCGGCTACTGGAGTAGCTTACAGCTATGGAGCGCTTCTACCAGTGCTTCTAGTCACTGAGCCTTGCCTCCATCTCAGCAAATATATTACATTTATTACAGGTACCGTCATCATTGAAGTAGGCAGGGGAATAGCTAAACACAGCATAGACCGAGAGTGAGTGAAAGACATCGCTAACTGCTAAACTAAGCCAAACTAAGTTGGCTGTTTAGGTTTTATTCCCTCGCCCCTGTAGCAAGTGAATCTGCCTGTAGTGAAACCGGGGCTAACCGGTGCTTCCTCCTCAGGCTCCACTTCACTCAGCTGCCTTACAGATTCGCTGCTTCTTCACACTTTAACCTGAATAACAAACCGGAGCTAGCTGGGAGCATGACCGGAAGGAAGCACAGCCAGTTAGCCTCCGCTAGCTCCCCAGCTAGCCCCAGCTCTCCGTTTGGATCCAACCGGTGGAGAGCAGAGGCAGAGGGAGGTGTGGCTCATGACACACTTTGTTTTGGTCTACAGGCAGTGCACAACAGCAAACCTAGCGGTGAAACGATTTCGCTTTTTGCCCCTTTAACTCTTTGCAATGATAAGAGTTGACAATGTGTAACTTACAATTAATTAGTAAGAGTCACCACTTTTTGGAAGAAAAAGGATGGATTCACTTTAAATGTGGAACAGTTACGACATCTATTGCATGTACGACATCTATTGCACGTCTGTCCGTCCTGGAAGAGGGATCCCTCCTCAGTTGCTCTTCCTGAGGTTTCTACCGTTTTTTTTTCCCCGTTAAAGGGTTTTTTTTGGGGGAGTTTTTCCTTATCCACTGCGAGGGTCATAAGGACAGAGGGATGTCGTATGCTGTAAAGCCCTGTGAGGCAAATTGTGATTTGTGATATTGGGCTTTCTAAATAAAATTGAATTGAATTGAAAAATTTAACAATTTATACACACCAGTTACAACACACTATGATCCCTGAAGAGTATTCTGGGGCTTGAGTTGATTTTCTTCATTATGCATTTCCACATCAAGCTTTGAAGCCGCATTTTTTTTATCCTCCATGGTGGTTATTCTATACTTAGTATTTATGTGGTTTTTTTTATATCACATTGTGGGAAAAGATCTTACTGCTCAATCTCAAATAAAGTAAGGAAACATTCTTATACGTGTCCCATTTGAGTACTAAGCAGGCTGTAGTGAAAGGAGAAGTGCTTCCTGGAGAAACAAAGTGTAGAAGCAGAATCAAATGTGCTTGTGCCTCATAAACCTGCTGGTTCGCTCCAGTTTCACATTAGGCAGGAAAAGTCTCATTGATAAAGTGGATAATGAGCCCATTTTTGTAGTTGCCAAGTAGTTGTTACTGCAATTACCAGGGTCCATCACGTGATGCCATTGGACCCAAGAAGACTTTTTCCAGTAGACTTAAATTGGGAAAGAAACATCTGTAAATCAATGGATACATTTTTTTTAGCTTCACAACCCCTGCAAAATGACTTGCTCAGCTCGGCAGCTTTGAGTCTCTAGTGCACATACTGTATGGGCCCAGTGATGTGGAGGCAGTGCAGATGAGAGTATGGTCTCTGGACCATGGTCTCTGCGGACTGAAGACTTTGAGAGGGCGTGGTAACTGTCAATCATTTTTTAATTTGGCCAATCAGAGGCTTACAGTTCTGTCAGTTAATAATTTATATTACCAATACACCACCTGAACCAGCTGTCAATCAGTTTTTAATTCAGCGAGTCACTTTTTAGTATTATAAGGAGGAGGGACACTCACACACATTGCTTTGTGGACATTAACATTATTTCATGCTTGATTCAATTCAGTCAAAGGGGTTGTAATGATACAGCAAGGAAGCAATCAATATTTGTAAGACTAATAAAAAATAATGTTAGTCCAGGGTTCGCAGTTGTCTTTTTAAAGAAGACCCATAACAGTGGAATTACAACTGCCAGGTCTGTCACATGATGCTCTGTGGCCCAAAAAATTTTTTCCCATTACAGTTTTTCTCGATTGTTTACACACATTTTCTGAAAGTATGCCTCATACTCTCAGAACTGTACACACAAATCAAAAAACACACACACAATGGGCAAAACCCCTCAATTCTCCTGCAAAATGAAACTTTACATTCAAAACAATGTTATTTCTTCTCAAAATGGTATTTTGTTTTCAAATGACACACACAAACCATCATATGAATAGACATTTATAAGAACCAGTTTGACACTGATGTGCTCAATGTAAAACACTATGATGAATGGAAAACACTTCTTCTCCATTCATCATAATGACTTAGGCCTTTTTTTTTGTTCAGTGTTACACTACAGACAGTACATACATAAGTGTGTTGTAAAATATTTTAGAATATTGTTTTTATACTCAGAACACACAAATACACGGTAACAAATATATTTTATTTTTCCCACAAAAACAATGTACACAGTGTACATTCCAACCAACACATAGTTGCACATACAGTGGTCTACATACAAAACAACAGAAGTATTTACTGTATACAGTTACAGTAAAGAAAAAAAAAACACTATGCTGCATCCTCTCTTCTGCTTCGGTCTGGCCACAGCACCTCATCCACATCACAAGCAATGTTTTCCCTGGCCAAGCAGTGGGGGAAATATCGCCTAGCATGGCGAATCCAGCCATGAAAAGCATCAACTGCTATATCTCCACATGCGTCTTCCATAGCTTGGAGAAGGGGTATACGCGTTTGTGGATTTCGGTCATACACTTTCCATCTCCAGGCAGAAAAAGTGGCTCGGATCTCATCAGAGATTACAGTCCTTGGCCTTCCTCGTCCTCGTACTCCCCGTCCTCCTCTTACTCTCACTCCTCTGGCTCTGGCTCTGCCTCTGTTTCCAATGTTGACATCCATTGCTCCAAAACAGAACAGCTCACCTGTTGCCCTTTTATGCTAAAGCTCTGATTGCTAATTGTAAAACTGTGTGACAGGTGTTTGCCCATGTGATGAGTCAGTGTGCATAGTAGGGCAATTAACTTTAGAATTTTGAATGACAGTGTGTTCCTTGTAAAAACAAAAGATTTTCTTCATGAAAATTGTGCCAAATGCAGAGAATTGTGTGTAGTGTTTTGAAAAAAATGTGTTTTAGAACTGCAATTTGAGTGTAAAGCAGGAATTGTGCTAGTAGTTTAGCAGAATTGGTTCAGGGGGTTGGTGCATGAGTTACATGTTGTGGTCATTGTGTCTCAAGTACCAGTATTTGTGTGTAAACAATTGAGAAAAACTGTAATGTAACCCATTGAGTCAGAAACAAAACAATTTTAATAATAAATTGAGCATCTTTTGAGCACCAACTTCATGAATGGAATTAAAATAAATAATAACATAAAAAGTTTCATGTTATTGTGTCAGTATGTTTGGCTCTTAAAAGAGTTATAGAAAGAGTTCCTTTGTTTGGATGAAAGTGAATCCTGCGTGTGTTTATCACAGCTCGATGAAATGGTGCTAATCAAAAGCAACCACATCCACACAAAGCCTCAAAACTGCATTATGTGGGTCAGCTGGTGTTTTCATAGACTCAGCAGGCTGATTTTTTGCTACCTGTGTATTACATCGCAGAGCAGTATGGTCATTCAAAAGATGTATTTACTGACTACTACAACAAATAATCTATTAACTGAAGAGATAGCTTTATGTGAGAGTTAGCCCATCCACATCACCATTAGCTTATTCAGCTGCTTATTCAGCCCACTTTTTCACGGGTCCTGAATGTGGAAATAAAGAGACCAGTGTTTCATTATTCCTGAACATTTAATGTGGCTGGCCACTGCCTATTTCACTACAGTGAACATGGCGCAGGGACTTTTATAAGCAGCTGTGCGCCTTCTGCAGTAGCTTGGGGCCTGGAAGGATGTCTCCCCAGTAAAACTGGAGGGCAGGAAATCAGTGGCTCAATTTGTGTGTGTGTGTGTGTGTGTGTGTGTGAGTGAGTGAGTGTGAGAGAGAGAGAGAGAGAGAGAGAGAGAGAGAGAGAGAGAGAGGTTTGGACTGCAAGTAAAGAGCTGAATTCAGTTGGCTGTTGGTTTTAAGCTGGCCTCCACATGTTGTAAAAAAAAAAAACAGATGCAAAGCAGAAGCAGGTTACTCTAGTGCACAGAGCAAGAGAGAGAGTTTCTTTGTGTGTCATGTGCTTTTAGTGAAGTAATGGAATGAGTAATGGAGGGGTGATTACATTTGTGATGCTGCTGAGCTTTGCTCTTTGAAAGTTTTACTACTCTCTGTCTGTACACCATTTATTAATTGTACATGTATGCTAACTTTACTCATTCTATCCGTTTACAGCTCTGTCCATCTCTCTACAATCCTCTCCCTCCACTTGGTGAAGATGTAGTCTGTCTGGTCTCCATGGAGATGTCTCCAAATATAGTCTTGTCTGTCTTGTTGCCATGGTCACTGTGTTTGCTGTTCTTCCAGACCCCTGTCACCCAGACAACCAACTTTGCCCCTAAATCTGAAACTTCTGTGCCGGTCAATACCACGCTGTTGTTTGACAGTGGTGCCCCAGGCCACAACCTGCGGAACTGCAGCTGCTCTACGCTCATCCAGGACTGCAACGAGGCTCTGGCCAACTCACTGTGCAGATGCCACACCATTTTGCGCTCCGCTCTGCCCTCTGCTGGGCTCAGAGAGCCTGGGCAACTCACTGTCTGGGTGAAAGAACTCTGGGTCTTGGAGGAACTGCTGAACAGGAGCATTGTTGGTCATTTGCAGTTGTCTTTTTGTGGAATACAACCAATGAACAGTCAGTACGTGGCCCTGCTAGGTCTACAGACCCTCAGGATTCACAGTGCAGCACCAGAAGCTCCCTACCCCAACCAGGAAATTACAGTATCCCCAGCAGCAGGGGTTGCAGTAGAGCTGGAGGCCCTCTCCTTTGACTTCTCCTCTTCCTTACACATGACCTTTCTGGATGTTGCAGTTCTCAGTGGGCTCTCTGCCCTTAAGGTATACAGTGTGGTGGGACCACCTGTTCACACTCTGTCCCAGCAGTTCCCCTGCCTGGCCTTGCACTTTGCTCTGCCATTCTCTGCTACTCCTGATAACCATACAGACCCCAGTGAGCAGGCTGCAGAGCCTTCACACAACCTGCTTATTACGTTTGTCTACTAACTACAACAAGTTCTCATTTATGGGCATGGTCAGGTTTGCAGTGCAAGTAACAAATGATGCGAGGGAGTTATATATACAACACAACTAGATGTTATTTGTTCTCCTTTTGCACAGGAAAAGTTGCACATGTGGAATAAAGTAACTCTTGTATGACTGACTGCTGTACTGTCAGTCTGAACCAAAGGTGGCTGACATCTTTCTCTCTCTGAACCTTTTTCTTAGTCTCTGCTGTTGTCTTTCCAATTTCTGCATTCATAACGCAGAGACACAAGGTTTGGGAATATTCACAACAGGTACAATTTCAAGTCTAACTGCAGCATATTTCAGGTGTTATCCCATAACATAAGTATTGTAAATTTTCTAACCAGGGAAGCTGTTATATGCTTCAGCTAGAAGTGACGCTTTGCTTGTGCTAATTTTCTGGGTACACAGTGTTCACAAATGTTGAATATTATCTCAAAGCCTTGTTATCCCAAAATACAGGAGAGTGTTTCACATGTACACACACATTCTGATTACAAATATTAGTACCCAATAATTCAATGCAATAAGGCATTCTTTATAAAGGGCTTAAAAGTAGTAAGTAATGGCTATATCACTGGTTAACAAATCATTTAATGCTAATGCTTAATAGATCATAATGTTGTGAACAGTGAAAACAGATCAAATAACATGCACTTTGAATTCAAACAAATAATAACAGTTTGACTATTTAATTTCTTAAGATACCCAACAAGGGTTTGAATTTTGAAGTCCCAAAAAGGTGATTTTGTTTTTTTAATTGTCTTTTTATTATAATCTAGTGAAACAAGTTATAATCTTGTGGTAACAAGTAATTATCTTATTGAAAATCATATTATCTTGTGGTAACAAGTTATTTTCTTGTGAAGCAAGTTATTGTCTTGTGGTAACAAGATATTATCTTGTGAAACAAGTTATAATCTTGTGGTAACAAGTTATTATCTTATGAAACAAGATATTATCTTGTGAACCAAGTTATTATCTTGTTGTAATAAGTTATCTTGTGAAACAAGTTATTATCTTATGGTAACAAGTTATTACCTTGTGAAACCTTGTGTTGGCTGGTGTTTAGCCTATCCTTTGTGTTTGTTAATAATACATATCTTAATGTTGGTAATCCTTTAATAAATGCTCATTGGCATCTTACTTTCTAATATAATAATATAATAAAATTCATTCATTCATATTAAAACCATGAGTTACAACTAATAACGGGCTGCTCAGAAAATGATATTGAAAAGGTAAACACCAGCTAAAGGATATGGAAAGCATTAGTAAATGATTTATTAACCAGGAATAAAGTAATTAATTACTACGTTTAAAGCCTTAAAAATGGTGTCTTTTTAGAAAGTGGCACCTAAATATCTTTATAGGGATTAATGACTCAATAGAAAAAGAGCTTATACAGGTAGAGTAAAAGCAAGCTGTTAACATGGCTCAGTATTCAAGCTAATGTTGGCACATCCAGCTATCATATCAAGGTTTTTAATAGTCTTGAAGATAGCTTATACCTTTTATAGATAGCTCTTATATGGAGTACTTAGCAACTCCCAAAATCACGAGTCTGCAGATGTGCTGGAAAACACTAATATTACTACAGTTACACCAGACATTTCAACATAGGTTATGTAGATCATATAATTGTGTGTCCACATCCGGCCCTGAAAATATTGCTTCTGCATAACGTCTTTACATCTGCCACCTTTCACAATTGATCCAGTGAGTAATACTAATACAAGCTGGTGTTTGCAAATCCCGACCTTTCACCCAGCAACTGCACGTGTGAGGAGTGTAACCATAGCCACAACTGTCCAGAAGAGATTGTGGGCTGATACACTGCTGCCAGAACAATGTCGGAGACAAACCATACGCCTGCTCCCAGAGAAGGGTGAGATGTTCCAGATCCCACTCCCAGCTGCAAAGTGGGTGTTAACTCTTCATCATCTGCTCCTATCCAGGTGTTGTCAGATATATCAGGGCAACAGGATAGCATGGACAGTAGGGTGGAGACCCTGGACTTGACTTTGGCTGCTTCACTGCAATTGTTTCTTAAGTTATACACGTAGATGGGTGAATAACAGGAAGTCAACACTTGCCACAAGCCATTTAGCAACATAAGATCTTTGCTGGTAAACCCTAAAGATAGGTAAGGGGAAAAAAAACAGTCACAACATTAACTGGAGAAATGTCAAAGTCGGTGACCAGCAGTCAGTGCACGGCTAGAGAAAGGTGAAGGGAGAGAGACAGGACATGTAATCTTTGTCTTATATATGTCATTGGTATTCGACACCTGAGCCAGTTCCACTTGCTAATGAAGACCATTACCTTGACATTAGATTCTTTTGTCACATTGAGCTTCCAGGTTCAAACATTGAAGCTGTCCTTAAGGCAGGTGGGCAGACACCTTACTTAAGCACTTTTTGATGGTTTTTATCACATTGTCACCCACCTTTGCATGGAGCAGATGAGGCCATTACGTAAACAGTCGAGATCAGGGATTCCTTGGCCTGACCAAACCAGAATACACTTCAGTAATTTGGGGCCCAAAGGTGACAGCCTAACTTAACTGTAAAGGATTTTTGTTTTCTGTTGGTGAGGAGCTGTGTGCTCTGGGGTTTTTTTTGTTTGTTTGTTTTGTTTTTAATAATGCAAGAACAAGAACTTTTTAGACTTATTGAAGAGGATTAATGTTTGACTGCTACTATACAACAGTGCAAAGAGCATCATTGTGGTGACTTTCACAAGGCTTGATTACTAACTGGGCAAAGCAGGCAACTACCCCATCGCAACCCCATTGCAATAACTGTGGGTTATTTGATTAAAAACAGATTTGTTTGACAACACTTACCACCAAAGCACGATTAAAAACTGAAAAAAATGGTCCTAATGTAGTACTTGCATTTGTATGGCTCTGTACAACCTGGGCTCTAAATATTCTCCCTCTCGCTCTCTTCCTCTCTCTTCCTCTCTCCTCTCTCTCTCTCTCTCTCTCTCCTCCAGTCCACATGCCGAAGTATCCTTTGGCAAGATACTGAATTCCACATTGTTCCCAATGGCTGTTCCATTACTGTGAGTGCAACTGAATGCTTACTGAGTATTAGGTGGTACCCTGTGTGGTAGCCTGAGCCACCAGTATGTGAATGGTTGAATGTGACATGTAGTGTTAAAGCACTTTGAGTGGTCAGAAGACTAGGAAAATGCTATACAAGTTCAGTCCATTCACCACTTACAGTGAACAGTCGTAAATTGCGTAACATAACATTGAAACTATGTTGACTTTTGGTGGTGCCGACTTTCTTGCTTTTTATATTACATTGTTTATTAGCATCAGTTATTGCCGTGGATGGCTTTATATTAGAGTTAGTTGAAAGCCTGGTGTGTCTCATAAAGATGCTTAAAGGTGCCTTTGGTGTTGATACCACATGTCAAAGGCCATAACAAAGTGTCAGTACTTAATGAAAAAGAAGGGGGTGAAGCAGATAGTACCTTTTTTTGGCCTCATCTGCACAGAAAAGACAGGGCCCCAGCCCTTAGAAGATTGATCCAGTCCTGGATTTATGGGTGAAAAGATGTCTACCCACTTAGGCTAAAATCAGGCCACATTTGGCAAAATCTAAAGGGCTTTTAGATTTCTTGGTTACGTAATATGTAACAGCATTTCTATGGGTGGATTGCAACATGTAGCAGGTCTTGTATTTCACTATGTGTTGAAATACTGTGCAGTTCGGTCACAGTGAACGAGGTGCTATGGGGAAAGGTGAAAGCAAAAGAAAATATTCCAGCTTCAGGGATCAACAGAGCATCGTAAAAACAAGATGTACTGTGGCAGCTGACTGCAGTGAACACTGACTGGAACCAGTCCAAACAATCCAGAGCAGGGTCAAAATCTGCACCAGAGCTGGATGATACTATTGTGTCTGGGAGGGAGTTTTGAGTATTATGCCACTTTGTTGAGGATATTTTGAAAATAAAATGATAGTATACACGGTGTGTTGTCAAGATATAAGGAAGACTGTCTGTGGCAACAACAAAGAAGAATGTATGAGAAAAAAGTGAAAGACAAAGACTGTGTCAATCTGCTGTGACACGAGCAGACGATAGGCGCAGTAGGCTCACTGTTACGCGGGCTGCAATCTGCTGCTGCGTTTTTCCAGCTGGTTTCATTTGGGGCGGCAGTAGCTTTGGGGCGGCAGTAGCTTAGTCCATAGGGACTTGGGTTGGGAACCGGAGGGTCGCCTGCTCAAGTCCCCGTCTGGACCAAAATATGGAGCGTGGACTGGTAGCTGGAGAGGTGCCAGTTCACCGCCTGGGCACTGCCGAGGTGCCCCTGAGCAAGGCACCAAACCCCCAAACCGCTCGGAGCGCCTGTCATGGGCAGCCCACTCTGACATCTCTCCACTTAGTGCATGTATAGGTCCTGTTTGTGCATGTGTGTGTTCGGACCTGTGTGTAATTGACAACAGAGTGAAAAATTGAATTTCCCCTCGGGGATTAATAAAGTATATATATAAAAATAATAAAAAAAAAATTAAAAAAAATGAGTGCAAATTGCCTAATAAAACTTTTTTTTTTTTTTCCAAAAAAGGGTTCAAAATGGACATTCAATGAACAAGAGCCCCAGGGTTAGGATCCTCTCTCACCAGCCAACAAATCACACTCTGTTTGGACCCAAACAATTACTTTGACTTAAGCTTAGCTGGATGAGTCTTGCAGATATGTACCCACTCAAAGCCAAGTTGGCAGGGCTCTGTGAGGGAAGACCAAAATAAATTTGGTCAGAATCATGTTGGATTTGATTCAGTTACAATGGCTGTTTGTCAGAAGTCAGTCTGAATTTCTTGAATGGTTTGGGTTTTTTTGTTTTCTGGATATTTTCTACACTTACTATTACATAGTGAGAGAGGAGTTAGAGAACAATTTGAAAAAGCTGAATAAGTAACAACTCTCCTCTCTCTCGCTGGTTTCATACTCTCTTTCTCTTTCTGGTTCCAGCTCATATCCTGTGGGAGACTATTAAAACTGCTCTCACAAACACAGTCTGGGGCCAACACTTATGTTCCGCAGATCATTCAATGAGCGCTCTGGGTATGTGCGTTGGTGTGTGTGTGTGTGTGTGTGTGTG